ATGGCGATGAAGAGCCGTTTCGAGACCTCCAGAGGCAGCCGGTTCGATTGACAGGGGCAGAGGCGTACGACCCAAACTGTGTTGCTGGTGTTCCAAAGAACGCAGGCCAAAATGCTTGAATTTGAGGACCTCCTTGGTGCAGGAAGACCGGGCTGAAACCGATCGTTTTGACGAGTTGTCGCACACACGCTCCTATTGCGCACGCCCACTGTGAATCAAGCAAATTTCGTCACGTGGGTGGGAGCAAACACAACGTGTGTTTCAGGCTCGTTTTTATTGTGTCTTGACATGGCAGCCTGCGTCCACCGCTTCTAAACAGCCCTCACTCTGTGTGTCGTCAGGCGAGCCCTTGGTGGATGTAGGGGCACACTTCCCGAGTTCCCGGACTTTACATACTTTTTGGGAAGGCCATGTTACCTTCTTCTTACCTCTTAAAAACACAACTTTTCAACTTTTTGGGTAACATGGGCTATATGTCTGTAAAAGATTAGCTTTTCCAGGGCTTGGAGTGGTAAGGGGGAAGTCTTCGGCCAGTCCACTCAAGTGAGTTTCGCAGGACTTCGATCCCTGGTGGAACTTGCTCCTTCTCGCACAGGATCCAAACTCGCCAAGCCATGCAACGTTGGCTGGACCCCGAAAGAATCCCCAAAACGGCCCGCAGATTGGATGACAGGCAGGGGAAGAAGCACACCGCCCATTGGATTGGTACCGTTGATGCGAAACACAGCTTGCCGGATGTTTGCGGTTGGTTGGTCGAAGCCAATTATTTGCATCGGCTCCCATCCTTTTTTTGGACTCGACACTTTGGACCCCGACGCGCGGAGGTTGATGTGTCCTTGTTCACTCTTTGACACGGGCTTGCCCAACTCTCCAAAGAACAAGTTGCCAGGGTCCATTTCTCATGTACAGATTCCTGTTTGGGGAAAACAAAGGGAAGCACACTTTTTCTGTTACCCTCCCTCCCACTAACATAGCAACTGCTAGAGGGCACCTGGAAGATCATTTTCCTCTTCAAGGGGCCCCCTGTCAGGTGCCATGTTAGTGGGAGGGAGGGTAGTAGTTGCAAGCAACCCAAATGGGGTCGCAGCTCAAGGCGCCAAAGCGGTGAGCCCCAGGCGCCCGCGACGTGGTGAGCCCCAGCCCCACGGCGAAGTACCGGCAGCCGCCGCGGTGCTCAGTCGAATGAAAGTAGGCCATTCCTCAGGTGGCATTTGAATTCAACACCCAGTGAGATGGGTGTGGGTCAAAACCAATGGACCCAATTTGCTTCAGGACATACTATACTCAGGTAACACCCTTAATTGGTTTCGGATTGGTGGTTTTGGATTTGGATTTGCTTCAGGACACACCATACTCAGGCCCTGAATTGGTGGTTCGGATGGGTGGGTCGGAATTGGATTTGAACCCCTGGATCTTGTAGAGAGTAAATGGAAAGCAACCCCTAACCACCAGGCCACCAATCCAGACCTCGGGTGCCCTGGGAGCTAAAAGAGCAGCTGGAAAGAATGGGTTTGAATCCTTGGAACTTTGTGTCGACTCCCCTTCCAGATGTCTTTTACACATTTCGAGGGGCAAAAAACGAATTTCCCCCAAACTGATAGGGAAAGAGTCGGCGAGAGAGGGGCTTCAGGTTGCAAGCACACAGTCTGACTTGAGCCGAACCAGATCCTCATGGAAAAGGACAACTTTATGAGTTGACCAAACCCTGGCTTGTCTCGGGTTCTGCAGCAAAAACCGCAGACCACAGGAGTTGTTTTTTCTCGGAAAGTCCTGTAGATCAGGTAACCCTTGGTGGATTGGCGGCTTGGTTGGACTTCTTGCAGAAGGATGGGACATGCCTGAACCGAGCTCCAAATCGGACTCCAAGGCGCCAGCCTTTTTGAGTGTAATGTCCCAATGGGATTAGTAAAGGGGACCCCCCCCCCGCTCAACGAAGGGGGTACCCAGAATAGTATCTTGAGATCCAGGTGAAGTGAGTTTCCATTTAATTTAGTATTGGTAGACTTGAGTTTCCATTTGATTTAGTATTGCTGGAACTTCCTTTTTGAGATTTGGAACTGAGCTTCCATTTGATTTAGTAACGGTAGACTTGAGTTTCCATTTGATTTAGTATTGCTGGAGCTTCCCGTTTGTTTTTCTTGGGGGGGCCAGGCAACAAGACTTTATTTCGGGGGCCCCTGAAATAATGTCAAGTTGGGGGCTGAACTACTACCCCCTTTGTGGGTTTGATTGTTTGCAGGTTTTAAACAAGAGACATGTAAGAACACATGGGCTTGGTAAAGCTGACAATTTTGGATTTGAGGAGCAGGCCCAAATCTAACAACACAGCATGAAGCACTGCCAGCCTCACCTAGGCTGTCTAACTACTTGACTAGCTAAGAGGCAATTGCACTGGGCAGGTTGTATTTTTCAGGGGGCCAGGCAACCAGACTTTACTTCGGGGGCCCCTGAAATAATGTCAAGTTGGGGGCTGAAGTACTACCCCCTTTGTGGGTTTGATTGTGGGCAGGTTTTAAACAAGAGACATGTAAGAACACATGGGTTTGGTAAAGCTGACAATTTTGGATTTAAGGAACAAGGTACCAAAGATCCAAGGACCAGGGGTGGCTATCTCTGCTCTCCTTCCTGTCCTTTCTCTCTTTCTCTCTTCTTTTTTTGTGACTTTTTTGTGACTTGTTTTTTTGGGATATTTTATTTTCAGGGGCGGGGGGGGGGGGGGAAGGGCTTGTCTGTATTTCAGGTGCATTTATTAATTCTTTTGGGCCCCCCAGTTGTGTTTATGGGTGCAATGTTTAATCCCATTTGGACATTAGCTGAGACGTTGCCACAAGTCCTGGCAGGCTAGTCTCGCTAGGTGGGTGGACTTGTCAACTTTAGGTGAAAGCAGCCTTACTCGATGCTCACGGAGATGAAAGACGAAACACTGGTTGCTTCGTGGTTGACGTTCCCAAGGGAATGTCATTCCATGGACCCTGATAACAGCAAACAAAAGCAATAAAACCTTCTTAGGCCCTTGTAAGGACAACAATGAACTTCGAAGGGACCATTGTGCAAAGCCCAGCTTCGGATTTTCATTGTACGATTGATCTGCAAAATCAGCTCCAGGATTTTACTTGGCACCATAGCATTATAGGCCGTTGGACACTCTCGCTTTGCGGCTGCAAGTCTCTCAATTGAAGCGACACCGCACATGCCATGGTCCAAAGACGCTTCGAGGTCTCCACTCGAACAAGCAACGCCCATATGGCTCTTTCGATCTTTCTTTCTTTCTTTCCTTCCTTCCTGCCTTTCCTTCCTTCCTTCCTTCCTTTCCCCCCTTCCTTCCTTCCTTCCTTCCTTCCTTCTTTCTTTTGCTTTTGCATGTTCATGTTCATTTGTTTGATAGTTGTCTCTATTTTGTCTTTCTCTTTGTCTTTCACCTTCTCTTTCTCTTTTTCTCGTTTTATCTTTCTCCATCTTTTCCTATTCTGTAGCCCGGTACTAAACACCCCTAGACAACATACTAGCACAGCCGTACTGGTTTCCCACTAGCGCGACCTGTTACCTACCGCAGCAAAAGCTGTCACCTGCTACGAATAAACCCTTTGTTGCCTAGCACAGGAAACAACTGGAAGCTACTAACAGCGCGCAATCTGCTGCCTATCACCACAACAAAAATCACCTGTTGCTCCGACATTTACACAGGTCCCGTTTTCCTACTACTAGGGATGATCACAGATCTTTTAATTGGAGGTTAGACGGCCAACATTAGATTCACTTCGCATTATCAACCCTTCTGGATCTCAATGAGATGCAAATCGAAGATGCTTCCCAAAGCAGGAAACTGCTTGCCGCCAACAGCTGACGACGGACACACACACTTTTTCTTCTGGGAGTTCCCCAAATTTGGTACGGTTCCCTTTGGTCTCTTCTTTCAACAGGGCTCCTTAAAAGATCTCCATTTTGCAACCATTTGAATCATGTTGCTTTTCCCACCAAAATAAAAGGAAGCCACCACTTACAAGTTGCAATGTTCAGGTGTATTTCATGCAAGGATCCCTGTTTCAAAACAACACCCAGAAAACAAGCCCGCCTGATCTCAGACTTTTTCCAGCTGAGGTCAACAGGCTCCCGCAGCCCCTCCACTGTGTCCTTGCTGGGCGCAGAGGCGTCTCGCCTTTCTCTTTTTTTTTGTCGCGCGCGGGGGATAGGTGGCGGGAGAGAGAGAGCCTTCAGCACTCCCTGAAGGTGTTTTCAGTATCTACAGCTTCTTCTTTTTGAAAGTTGTTGGATGTGGCGGAGAAGTCTCCCCTTTTTGCCGGCTGATTTCATTGGTGGTCGATTCAGCGCCACTTCTGGGAGGCTTCAACGAATTGGGTGGCTAGCGAGTTGTCATGTTGGTTTGCCTGATGCTTCATTGACAAACTACGAACAGATCTAGTCCTGATGTTGCTGCCATGCTTTTCCCACTGCTCCACCATACACACACACACATGGTACGCAGCGCTGCCATCAATGACACGCTCTTTCTGATGAACAGCGTGACGTGCTACTTGGTAGTCAAGAGTTCCCCAAGGAATGGGGGTGGGGGAAGATTATGTGCTCAAGCAGCCTCTTAATTTTCAAATGGTTTGAGCTCAAGTGAGCTACCATTTCCTTTCGAAAAGAACACAGATCCTTAAGAATCTGTTTCTACCTCTATGCTGGTGAACTTAAGAATTTCAAGAGCGAATGTCAACATTCAGCGTCGTGAATTAAAACAATGGGAATGAAATCGGATACGCTCACCAAATGTCCATTCGGTAGTTGGGGTTGCAACACACGCACACATACACAGAAACACGCGAAACCACACACACACACACCTACAAATATACAGATACAAATAGGTACACATACACACACACACAAACACACCGCATCACACATACACACATAGACACAAACACATACACATACACACACATTCCCACACATACACATACACACATACACACATCTCACGTACACATACACACATGCACAGGCACACACACACAAACACATACACATATACACGCATCACACATACCCATACATACATCCATACATACATCCATACATAATATACACACACACACATACACACATACATACATACATACATACATACATACATACATACATACATACATACATACATACATACATACATACATACATACATACATACATACATAAATACATACATACATACATACATACATACATACATACATACATACATACATACATACATACTACTACCTACCTACCTACCTACCTGCATGCATGCATGCATGCATACATACATACATACATACATACACACACACACATATATACACACTGACACACATCCAACCATGCAACCATGCACACACACACAGACACAGACACACACAGACACAGACACACTCACAGACACACACACACACACAGACACACACACACACACACACACACACACACACACACACACACACACACACACACACACACACACACACACACACACACACACACACACACACACACACACACACACACACACACACACACACACACACACACACACACACACACACACACACACACACACACACTACACACACACACACACACACACACACACACACACACACACACACACACACACACACACACACACGCCCCTGCGCTTTGCACTTTACTGCACACGCACACGCGGCACGCGCTTTGCGCACACGCTGCGCTTTGCGCTTTGCCTTCAAGCACGACGCAGCGCGGCGCGCGCAGCATACGCACGCGCACGCGCACGCGCCGCGGCGCTGCCTTCCGCGCAGCATACGCACACGCGCAACGCGCACGCGCACGCGCACGCGCAGCGCGCGGCGCGCACTTGCGCACGCGCCGCAGCGCTGCGCGCACGCGCGCGCGCGCGCGCGCGCGCGCGCGCGACGCGCAGCGCGCGCGCGCTACGCGCACGCGCACGCGCACTGCGCACGCGCCTCGCGCTGCGCGCTGCGCGCACTGCCCCGCATCAGATGCGCGCAGCGCAGCGCGCACACACGCGCGCGCACCTGCGCACGCGCACGCGCACTGCGCTGCGCACGCGCACACATGCGCATCACGCACACGCACACGCACACGCACACGCACACGCACGCGCCGCAGCGCGCACAGCGCCAACGCATGCGCACACGCGCACACGCACACGCACACCCACACGCACACGCACACGCACACGCACACGCACACCCACCACGCACGCTGCGCACACGCACACCCACCACGCACCACGCACGCACCGCGCACACGCACCACGCACCACCCTTCGCGCACACCCACCCACACCCACACCCACACCCACACCCACACCCACACCCACACCCACCACCACACCCACACCACACCACACCCACCCAACCCCACACCCACCCACACCCACACCCACCCACACCCACACCCACACCCACCACACCCACACCCACACCCACACCCACACCCCACCCACACCCACACCCACACCCACACCCACACCCACACCCCACACCCACACACCCCACACCTCACACCCACCACCCACACCCACACCCACACCCACCCCACACCCCACCACACCCACACCCACACCCCACCCCACCCCACACCCACACCCCACACACCACACCCACACCCAACCCACACCCACACCCACACCCCACACCCACACCCACACCCCACCCCACCCCCCCACCCGCACCCCCACCCGCACCCCCACCCACCCGCCACCCCACCCGCAACCCACGCGCACCCATAGCACTGCACGCGCACGCGCCGCAGCGCGCATCGCGCACGCGCACGCGCACGCGCACGCGCAGCGCGCGCGCCACGCGCACGCGCTGCACATACGCGCGGCGCCGCACGCGCACGAGGCAGCTCATCGCAGCACGCGCTGCGCGCGCACGCGCACGCCGCGCGCGCACGCCGCGCACGCGCACGCAGCACGCACACGCACACGCACCACGCACGCAGCACACGCACCGCCACCACGCACCACCCACGCACCCACGCACCCACCGCACCCACGCACCCACGCACCCACGCCCCCACGCGCACCCCACGCATGCGCATCGTGCGTACGCTGCGCGCGCTGCGCTTACGCATGCCGCCTGCACGCCACGCACGCACGCACGCATACGCACAACACGCACACACCACGCACCCACGCGCACGCACCCACGCACCCACGCACCCACGCACCCACGCACCCACGCCGCACGCATGCACCGCACGCACGGCACGCACGCACACATCACACAAAAGGGGACACACACACACCAAGGGGACACACCAGACACACAACCTGACACACTGGACACAGACACACAAAGACACACACACAGACACACAAAACACCCAAACACAGACACACAAAGACACACACACAGACACACAAGAGACACCCACAGAGGGGACACACACACACACACACACACGCACACACCTGCACGCCTGGCACACGCACACGCACAGCGGCCTGCACAGCACACGCACTTCATGCACCTGCACCTTCAAGCACACGCACACGCACCTTTCGCACACGCACTACGCAACCTGCCGCACACGCACACGCACAAGCACAGCACACCTGCACTTCGCACATCGCACTTCCGCACGCCCCAGCACTTCTGCACGCACACTGCACACTGTAGCCTGCCGCCCCTGCCTTTGCACACGCACCGCACACGCACGCGCATGACGCTACGCCCACTTATTTAGGCGTACGCGCACTTATTATACGCGCACGCGCACGCGCATTGTGCACACGCAACCGCAACCCGCATACGCACACGCACACGCACACGGCACACGCACCACGCACACGCACACGCACACGCACACGTACCTTCCGCACACGCACTTCTCACCTCACTCGCACTCGCCTGGCACCGCACTGCGCACTGCACAGCACTCACATCGCACACGTCACACTGCACACACACACGCGCAACGCACACGCACACGCACAGCACACGCACCCGCACACGCACACGCACACCCCTGCAGCCTGCGCACACGCCCACTTTACACGCACACGCAACGCACACACCACACGCACCACCACACCAACACGCCACACTTACACACGCACACGCACCCTAATACCTACACCTACATACATACAACACACGCACTACATACCCATACGCACACCCACACCCACCACCCACACCCACACCCACACCCACACCCACACCCCCCACACCCCACACCCCACCCACACCCACACCCACACCCACCCACACCCACACCCACCCCACCCACACACACACCCACACCCACACCCACACCCACACCCACACCCACACCCAACCACACCCACACCCACACCCACACCCACCCCCACACCCACACCCACACCCACACCCACAACCCCACACCCACACCCACACCCACACCCACACCCACACACCCACACCCACACCCACACCCACCCACACCCACACCCCACACCCACCCACCCCACACCCACACCCACACCCACACCCACACCACCCCCACACCCCACACCCCACACCCACACCCACACCCACACACCCACACCCCACACCCACCGCACCCGCACCCGCACCCGCACCCGCACCCCACCCCGTACCCGCACCCGCACGCGCACGCACGCGCACGCCACGCGCACGCGCACGCGCACGCGCGCACGCGCACGCGCGACGCGCACGCGCACGCGCACGCGCACGCGCACGCGCACGCGCACGCACGCGCACGCGCATGCCCCAGCGCACGCGCACGCGCACGCGCACGCACACACACGCACACACACACACGCACACCACGCACCCACACCCACGCACCCACGCACCCACGCACCCACGCACCCACGCACACGCACACGCACCCACGCACGCACGCACGCACGCACGCACGCACGCACACGCACGCACACGCACACGCCTGGCACACACACACACACACAAAAACACACACACAGACACACAAAGACACACACACAAAGACACACAAAAACACACACACAGAACACACAAAAACACACACACAGACACACACACACACACACACAAAGACACACACACAGACACACAAAGACACACACACCACACAGACACACACACAAAGACACACACACACACTCACAGAAAGACACACACACACACACAGAAAGACACACACACACACACCCACACACACCCCACCCCCACACCCACACCCACACCCACACCACACACCCACACCCACACCCACACCCACGCACACGCACACGCACACGCACACGCACACGCACACGCACACGCACACGCACACGCACACGCACACGCACACGCACACGCACACGACACGCACACGCACACGCACACGCACACGCACGCACACGCACACTGCGCACACGCACACGCACACGCACACGCACACGCACACGCACACGCACACGCACACGCACACGCACACCACGCACAACGCACACGGCACACGCACACGCACACGCACACGCACACGCACACGCACACGCACACGCACACGCACACGCACACGCACACGCACACGCACACGCACACGCACACGCACACGCACACGCACACACGCACGCGCACGCGCACGGCTGCGCGCACGCATGCGCCTCTGCGCCATACCGCCACACACACACGCACTCGCACACGCACACGCACACGCACACGCAGACCGCACGCGCCAGACCGCAGGACCCAGACCCAGACGCGCAGACGCAGACGCAGACCGCACAGACCAGACCCAGACCCAGACCCGGACCAGGGACCACCCCCCGGATTCCCTGGACCCGGACCCGGACCCAGACCCAGACCCGACCCAGACCCACCCGACCCAGACCCAGACCCGGACCCGGACCGGACGGGACCCAGACCAGACCCGACCCGACCCCCAGACCCCGGACCCCCGGACCCGACCAGACCAGACCAGACCCAGACCCAGACCCAGACCCAGACCCAGACCCAGACCCAGACCCAGACCCAGACCCAGACCCAGACAGACCCAGACCCAGACCCAGTCCCCCAGACCCAGACCCCAGACCCCAGACCCCAGACCCCCAGACCCCAGACCCCAGGCCCCCAGAGACCCCAGACCCCAGACCCCCCCAGACCCCCAGACCCCAGACCCCCAGACCCCAGACCCCAGACCCCAGACCCCAGACCCCAGACCCAGACCCCAGACCCAGACCCAGACCCAGACCCAGACCAGACCCCCCGCGCCCCCCCAGCGCCCCCCCGCGCCCCCCCCCGGCGCCCCCCCCCCCGGCGCCCGCCCCCCCAGCGCCCGCCCCCGGCGCCCCCCCCGGCGCCACCCCCCGGCGCCCCCCCCCAGCGCCCCCCCCGGCGCCCGCGCCCCCCCCCCGGCCCCCCCCCCCCCCCCCCCCCGCCCCCCCCCCCGCCCCCCCCCCGCGCCCCCCCGCCCCCCCCCGCGCCCCCCGCGCCCCCCCCCGCCCCGGCCCGCCCGGCGCGCCCCCCGCGCCCCCCCGGCCCCCCCCCCCCCGCCCCCCCGCCCCCCCCCGCGCCCCCCCCGCCCCCACCCCGCGCCCCCCCCCGCGCCCCCCCGCGCCCCCCCGCCCCCCCCGCCCCGCGCCCCCCGCCCCCCGCGCCCCCGCGCCCCGCCCCGCGCCCCCCCCCGCGCGCCCCGCCCCGCGCCCCCGGCGCGCCCCGCCCCCGCCGCGCCCCCGCGCCCCCCGCGTCCGCCCCCCGCCCCGCGCCCCCGCGCGCCCGCCCCGCGCCCCCCCGCCCCCCCCCCCGCGCGCCACCCCCCGCGCGCCCCCGCGCGCCCCCCCGCGCGCCCCCGGCGCGCCCCCGCGCGCCACCCCTGCGCACCCCCGCGCCCACCCGCACCCCGCCAGCGCACCCCCCGCGCACCCCCCACCGCCACCCCCCCCCCCCCCGCGCACCCCCGCGCACACCCGCGCGCCCCCGCGCGCACCCCCCGCGCCGCCCCGCCGCGCCACCCCCCGCGCACACACACCCCCGCGCACCCCCCGCGCACCCCCCGCGCGCCCCCGCGCACCCGCGCAGCCCCGCGCGCGCACCCGCACCGCGCAACCCCCCCCGCAGCACCCGCAGCAACACGCGCAACACGCGCAACACGCGCACCCGCAACACGCGCAACCCGCGCACCCCGCGCAACCGCGCAAATCCGCGCACAGGCACACCCACACACCCCCACACCCCCACACTCCCCACACCCCCACACCCACACACCCCCACATCCACACACCCCACACACCCCCACACACCCCACACCCCCCACACACCCCCACACACCCCACCACACCCCCCCACACCCCACAAAAACCCCCCCCCACACCCCCCACACCCCCACACCCCCACACCCCCCCACACCCACCACACCCCCCACACACCCCCCACACCCCCACACACCCCCACACAGCCCCACACCCCCACACAACCCACACACCCCACACCCCACACACCACCCACACACCCCACACACCACACACCACACCACAACCCACACCCCCACACACCCCCACACAACCCCCCCACCCCCACACACCCCCACCCCACACCCCCACCCACCACACACCCCCACACCCCACCCCCCACAACCCCCACACCCCCACACACCCCCACCCCCACCACCCCCACACCCACACCCCCACACCACACAACCCCCACACACCCACACACCCACACCACCCACACACACCCCACACCCACACCCACACCCACACACACCCACACCCCACCCACACCCACACCCACACCCACCACCCACCCACCCACCCACACGCGCATACATGCGCGCCGCACGCGCGCAGCACGCACGCACGCACACACACACACACACACCACACACACCACACACCCACGCACCACGCACGCACGCCCACACGCCCCCCGCCCGCCCGCCCGCCCGCCCGCCGCGCGCACGCACGCACGCACGCACGCACGCACGGTCGCGTCGCGTCGCAATGCGTCGCACGCACGCGCGCACGCACAGGCAGGCAGGCAGGCAGCCAGGCACGCAGGCAGGCACACAGCAGGCACGCAGGCACGCACGCAGGCACGCAGGCACGAACGCACGCACACCTGCACGCAGGCACGCAGGCACGAACGCCGCACGCACGCACGCACCCACGCACTCATGCACCCACCCTTGCACCAACGCACCCACGCACGCACGCACGCTCGCTCGCACGTTCGCATGCACGCTCAAAAAAGCTCGCACGCTCTCGCGCTCACGCTCACGCTCCTGCTCACGCTCACGCTCACGCTCACGCTCACGCTCACGCTCACGCACGGCGCGCCCGCACGTGCGCGCGCCCGCGCCCGCGCCGGCAGCCGCACCCGCACCCGCACCCGCACCCGCACCCGCACCCGCGCCCACACACCCCACACACCCACACACACACACACACACCCCTTGGGGCACAACGAATGTTGTTGGTGACCTAGGCGAAGTGGATCCGCTAAAGATTTGGCTTCCTTCGAGATGCTTCTGAACATTCAAAGGGCGGATCCGTTGCCCTTGTTTGGTGGTGAGGTTTTGCGGGCGGTCAAAGTCCTCCCAGTTCGCAGTAGGATATGGTTCCAGCTTTGGGTGTTGTCCAATCAGGGAGCCACCTTCTCCTGCCTTGTTTTAGATTGAATTCGAGGTAAACCCACCATCAAACGGGTGTTTTCTACTTGCAGAAACACTCCACATTTCAGGACATGCTCAGCAGATTTGCCTTCTTTGGTTAAGGGTTGCTTGGCTATTCCAAGATGGTTTCGCTACCCCGACACTACTGCCCCCAGGGGATGCAGGGAAAATACCCTTTCATAGTGGCTATATCGTGGTATTTCTCATGAAGCCCTTGGGAAAAATGATGTTTGAGGTGAGCCCCCCACGCCAGATACGGGTGCGCCATCCCGGGTTGTTTGAGGGCCCTCCGCCTCTAGGCACGGGGCAGCCTGAGCCTGTCGCGCCTGGACTCTCCGATGGCCACGCTGCGGCCGAGCACGCCCACCTACGGCGCGAGACTGGGGGGGAGGGGAGTGGAGCATGCGGCTTGGGGCAGACCCTCCGTTGGTTGCCCTTGAATGGCTCCCCTTGGAAGTCCAAAAAAAAAACAACAAGGGTGTCCAGGCATTGCGAGATTTCTTTTTGAGGTCATCAACAAAGAGCGTGAATGTCCTTGAATAAACTTACAAGGTGTCCCATTTCGATCAAAAGTCAAGCGACAAACCACGGGTGTCATGTTGTTCTGATGGCTACTGGGCTAGCAGAGCGAGGAACGGATGGGACTTGGTTTGGGGTTGAATGGGGAGATGAGTTGGGAAAGGTCAAAACCAGCTGGACAATTTTGGTTGACGATTGTACATGAACAGGCAGCCGAAAATAATTTGGGGTCCCTTCGTTTGGGGGAGCTGCATGGTGTAAGGTCGGGGACTTGTTTTCCGGGGAAAGAGGCAAGGACGTGCAGCGGAACATCCCAAGAAAAGACTGCGCGCTTTCATTTATAGCACGGAACCCAGGTGAAAACCACCACTCGAACATTCAAGCGAGAGAGTTTGATGACCTCTGCCGGGAACTGGGGGATCTGGATCCAAAAGCCTCCCGTGCAGTCTGAGAATAGGGAACTTCATGGGACAAAGGGGGCCATCAGCTGCCAACAAACTTCACTTGGGCGGCCATCGGTGCTTCGCGGAGTGCAGACCCCTTTTGTCAATGCTTGTCTTCCACGTTTCCCAGCTGCGAACAAGCCCCTTGGGTCTCCCGTTTTTGGGAGGCCCTTGAGTGCAGATTAAACAGTAGGCAAAGCGATGATTTTGGGGATTCACGCCTTTGCACTTCAAATCAACAGTTTGCGCATCAGACACCTTCGTGAGTTTTCACCTTTCTCGATGTGCTTGAGTCAGACTGCAAGCTCTTGCGTGATGTAAACCAATGCTTTTTTGGGTTGCTGCCGCAAGCGCTTATTCGGGCGCTCTCTCAGATATCTGTCTTTTCTCGGGCAGCGGCATCCCCGCGCTCGACTTTGATTAGGAGCTCTCATTTGGATATTGGCTTTGCACTTCTCAGAGCGTTCCCTATTCCCTTTTTCCTCAAAATGGTGTGCTGTTCAAAAGAACAGTATACAGAGCCCAGTCCCAACTACTTCAGACACGTTGCCAATGCTTCTGCGCAGCCAGGGTCAACCCCCCTTTTGTCTTGTCAAGGGCCAGCGGAGGTGCGCCTCAGGGTAGGCCCAAGCAAGTTCCATTCTGTCATCGGGTCTGGATATTCGGAATTAACAAGTGGTCGGCGTGAAGCAGCAAACCGGCTCTTCAGCCCGGAGCCGCCAGGCTTTGGCGCTGTATCAAGCACAAGGCTGGACCTGAGGCGGGAGCTTGTCGGCCAAATCGGCTTGCGAACGGGCCTTGTTCCCACGCGGCGCTAGGCATTGAGTGGCTACCAATCTGCGGGTATGTGTCAAATCCAGGGGCGATGATCTTGCCACATTCACGTTTGCTTTACATGCCCATGACCCCCAAAGGATTCGACGCCTTAATTTGGGGGGCTTGTATTTTAGGGTCTTGCCGGAAAAAATAACAGAAAAAAAAGAGAGGCCAACATGGAAGGAAGTCCCCCATTGATTCACTCCCATGCTCTCGGCCTCTCGGCCGGCTACTCGGTTGCCAGTCGGACGGACCTTATGGGAATGGATGTGGCGCGCTCAGGTTTTGGAAGTGTTGCACGCGTCGACAAGATCCCAGTTGGTCAGGTACCCCCTTCTTCCTTTCGTTCCCCACGCAAACATTTGAAATCATCAAGCAAGCGCTTCGCAGTTTGGTCAACCGTTAACATTCGTGGGATGTCTTTGTATTCCATTAACACATCATCCAAAAGGCGGTCCGTGATTTTTTGGGAGAGACCCTTTTCCTGCTTGTAGTCAATGATGCCCCAGAGGAGTTGCCCAGCTTGTCGGTGTGAGCTAGAATTGGCTAAGCGTTTGCTTGCTGCAAAAATCACAGGTCTGCTGGGCGCTGCACACGCAGTGTCAGTTCCAAAGATTGTTTGTATGTTGCCTTCCTTTCCTCGCACGTTGAGTCAGCCCGCTTTAATCTTTTGCCTGGCGTTCTGCCTGGCCAAAGCATGGTTGCTTGTTCAAGCTCGGGCCCACACAGCGTAGGATCCAACCCACCCACCCAAACCATCACAGACCGGAAGTCACGAGGGCGTCTCTTTCTTTTCCGGGACCCCCCGGCCCTAATGGTGGTTTTCCTCTTGGTGCTGCTTTACTTGCTGGTGCGAGGAATGAGTTGGAATGACCCGAATGCACCTTTCCACCACATTCCCTACCTGTTGCACCAGCAAGAGTTTAAAACCACCCAAAAAGGGTAGCCTCAAAGGCAAAACGGCAGTGGGGTGGAGGTGGTTTCCATACCCCATGCTCCATTGGAACCTGGGCCTTGAAACCCGCGGAATTCGCCAGGTTTCAGTTCTTGCCATTTTCCGGGCAACCCGCTTTGGTTGCCCTAAGGCCCTAAGGAACCCAAGACAAATTTGACTCTGTTCCCCAGAGCTGCGGAAGGTTTTTCCTTCTCCAGAGAAGGGGACACAGCGCTAGGTGGGCGATTCTGAGTCGACCGTCCGCTCCGGCATAGAGGACGGCCATGGGCTGCTGCCAAAATGGGGAGAGACGCGATTCATTTGGACAGAGGGATCCAGGTGATGTGCCACTTTAGAGAGGTTTTTTTTGGGTGGCCAAGGCTTGGTCTTGCCCTTGAAAAACACCGGGTTCTGGCACTGTGGAGAGGTCTCGTTGGGAGGCAAAGGGTCGCTTGCCCTGCTCCAAAGGCCAAGGGCGAACGGCGCTTTGGCGCCCCGACTCGCCAGGAGGTGCGGTCCAGCGTGCGGGATCTCCAGCGCCAGGTGAAGCAGGCGCCTTCGGCTTTGGCTCTATTTTTTGGGCGGTTCCCAGCCGTCATTTGTTGTTTCTCTTTGGCCTTTATATAATTGTCTTTTTCTTTTCTCGGAGTGGTAGGGTTTCCGAGTTTTCACCCACAAGTTAAACTTGTAGCAGGATATCTGAGCACAGTTTCATTGCGGCTGTCCAAGTCAGCGCATTCTAGATGGAACGGAGGATGGGATGACACTCGCAGCTTTTGGCAGCCTCAATTCGACGCACCGAATGTTGGAAGGCACAATCCTTGCAAGTGGTTGAGGCGAGCTTGTCAGTTGCAACAACATAATTTCAGGTGGGCTGGTTGGCTATTCACCTATTCAATTCCGTCTAATGGAATGACAAAGTGAATAGTCTACTAGAGCAACACGGCCATACGCAATTCTTTGTGCAGTTGATACTCAACGTGTACTGGCAGGCCAGGCTTTCATCAAAAGGGGCATGTGTAAACGTAAGATCTAAGAACAGGCTGAGCGAATGTTTCACAAGCAAACAAGACGAGCAACCCGAGGATGTCAGCAAACCGTGCCTGTGATTCAAGTCGCAAGACACAGCTGGAGGTGGTTTGCTGGGGCAAGCCGCCAGAGGTTTCCGTGGAGCAAAGGGAGGAACTCCTGGCGCATCCGGGCCATGACTCCAGAAACTCCGTGCTCCGCCCCCTTCAGAGACTTCCCGGGAAACTGCTCACATCCACAGGGGTCCTTTTTAGGTGAGTTTGCTTGGAAATCGATGGGTCCCACTGGTTTTAGATTGATGGAATCTAGATGGTTTCCCCTGGTTTAGATTGGTTTGAATTCCATGAACCAGAAAAAAAACCATCGCTCTGACATAGATGCGTCCCACTGGCTTTGTTTGGCTCACAATTCAATAGCTGGGGTCACCATTTACCAGGCTTCCATTTTGGACCCCTATGTTTGACCCACGCCCATGTGGCAATGAATTTCACTAGGGAGCCACCTCAACAGTGGTGGGTGGACATGAATCTGCACCCAAATGATGTCCACCAAGGGGTCCCAAATCAATGCCTTCCAGGCGCCCCGTAGTTGGCGTGCGGACATCGAGGCGGCCGTGGACGCGCTGAAGGCGTGCCGCGCGGGGAAGGAAACGAAGGGAAGGGGCTGGTGCCCCCCGTCTTCTCACTGCAGTTCCTGGACGGTTCTAGGGGAGCCGCCTGGACTGGATTAGCTTTTTCAGTGGCAAACAACAAGCTTGGGGGCTTTTTTGGCCAGCCCACTCAAACTTCCAGGGATCCTTCTTTCTAGAAAGCCACAAGCAAAATTCGGGGATTAGCTTTTGACAGGCAAACAACCAGTTTGAGGGCCTTTTTTGGCCAGCTAGGGGTAGCTTCCAGTTCCATCCTTCCCAGGGATCCTTCTTTCTGGAAAACCACAAACAACACCCGGGGAAATGGCTGGTTTTCGAAAAGAACGATGGCTGAAAAGACTGGGGAATTAATTTCTAGAACTTTGTGACTTTTTGGTGGCAGACAACAAGCTTGTTTTTTTGGCCAGCCCACTCAAAAGCTGCCCCCCCCCCATAAGGAGATATCTCTAGCAATGGGTGTCTTTGAGATCCATGTTTGTTTGTAGGAGGGTAATTATGACAGACAACAATTAGGCAATGATGAGTGCGTGTCTAAGCTAGCAGTATCAATGAGTACCTGCACTGCAGTCTCGGATACCTGATACTTAAGCCGTTCTTTTGGAATCCTTTGCTTGCAGCTTGACTTGGCTGGCTTACCCTCCTGCAGATCAACATGGATTCCTTTGTTGATCTGCAGGAGAGTGGCTTTTTTCATGCTTGCTTCCGTTCCTGTGCATTGCTTGCTTGTAGCCGCAGCAGGCGAGGGTTGCTTCGGTGGCAGGTAACCAAGCCGAATAGATAGGTTGATTTCCTCACGACTGCTTGTTCCAGACATGTCAACTGATGAAACCGAATGTGGCAGTTTTGCTTGGTTGACTTTGAGCAAACACTTTGTTGAGCTTCCCGCAGCCGCTTCAAGACGGAATTGGTTTCATATCCAACATTCGCGCTGTTTACAATCGGGAGACCCCATTCGGCTTTCCTGGATGGCTGAATTCAAGTTCTGATGACTTTGCCTGCCAACCTGAAACACTTGCTTATCACCCATTTCACTGCTCACTCTCTGCACTGCGCAAGAACTTGAGGTGAGCACACTTGCAAGCCATCCCGTGAATGCACACAACCGCGCGGTTTCGATTGCAGCTGTCACGTTCTCAAGAGGCCCCTGGTCTGGCGATGCAATAATTTCTTGAAAAAACATGGCGGTTTGCAGGATCTCCCCTCAAGCACTTGCCTTGGATGAAGGCATTTCCACCAGGCCGTGACACATTGCATCCTTCCAGCCCGAGCTATTTTTTAAATCTTGAGTAGGTGGCTGGTCCTAAGGGTCCAGCACGAGATTTGCCACAGACGGGACACACTCCTCAGATTGGAGTGGTAGAGAATGAGTTTGAGTCAGGGATGAAGTTTGCTAGTCAATCGCGCCCACGATTCCCAATTCCAAATCCAACCTTGCAACTTTCAAGTTTCCTGGAAACCTGGCAGGATACTGCTTCATCGGAAGTCGACCGTCTCTTTTTGCCCCAGGGATCTAGCGAGGGGTGTCACGCTACAACTTCGACACATCCATTGCGTTCGATTTCGCTCCATGGCGGGCGATGAGAAGCCTTGTGGCTCGGCCAACGCGGGTATGGCCACCAAGGGGACCGGGGCGGCTGGTTTCAAGAAGACAAGTAACGTGAGATGGAAGGGACGGAAGAGATTCTCCTAGAGCCATTGTCATGATTGGCCCGAGCTTGACAAGAGGGGATAGCTTCATTGATTCATTGACAAGCGTTTTTGCCTGGTCGGTGTTGGGAGCAACTGGGTAGGGTGGGGTTGCGCCAACTCAAGTACATTTTCATGTATGGACACAATCATGTTGAGATGAAGGCAACCATGACTGTGGTTTGCTGATGGGAATTCAAGCACTGTGAGAGATTCAAGCACAAGCTCCTGTGAGAGAGTGCTGGGATGCCTGCTGCTTGCCCATGTCATTTTTACTAAATTATTATAGTACTTGTTTGTGTTATACCATGTAATTATTATAGGCATAGAGCAAGTATCAAGAATAATGATAATAAACATGTCCATACACTTCACATTGTCACTCCCCTTTCAGGCCTTGGGGCGTTTTCGGATTCGAGGGATGTTCATGGACCGAAGCGCAGAGAGCTTTTTGCAGTCTCAAGCGGGTAGATTTCCGCTTTTTACGTCCATGGAACCCTGTTGTTCGTTGTTTGTGCGTTCACGGGCTTCGAGTGGCTGGTGTCCGTGTGGCTTCCGAGGAAAACCCTCCAAAAGACTCCAAGCGGTGTTCTTGATGGGATCGCCGATGCGTTTGAATGAGGATGCCCTTCTGGCCATTTGGTCGACCTTTGCTGATGCTGAAGCAGCCGCTTCGACGTATGCCGCGGGCTCAGTCACGCTACATGGTCAAAAGATATTTTTTTCTGGGTGACCAGAAATGTTCATTAACATAGTTTGGTTGCTTGCTGCTTGCCTTGCCTTGCCTTGCCTTGCCTTGCCTTGCCTTGCCTTGCCTTGCCTTGCCTTGCCTTGCCTTGCCTTGCCTTGCCTTGCCTTGCCTTGCCTTGCCTTGCCTTGCCTTGCCTTGCCTTGCCTTGCCTTGCCTTGCCTTGCCCTTGCCTTGCCTTGCCTTGCCTTGCCTTGCCTTGCCTTGCCTTGCCTTGCCTTGCCTTGCCTTGCCTTGCCTTGCCTTGCCTTGCCTTGCCTGTTGGCAAGCCTGTTTGCTGGCTTGCTGGCTGGCTGGCTGGCTGGCTTGCTTGCTTGCTTGCTTTGTGGAATATGGTAATATCCCCATACCCACAGTTGGACTGCCGTGCCTGACCTGCCAACAAATAAGGGTCAAATTGACGGGCGGGGTGGACTTTCTTATTGCCGGGTTTAGAGGTCTTGTAATTGCACACGAAACAGCGGGAGAATGGGGGAGCATGCAGCTCATGGTCCGTCACAGTGTCACAATTCCTATCCGGGTTGTTGACCATGTTGTTTGCAACGGAACCCTCTGAACATCCTTGCGATTCGTTGAACAGCTACACAGACTACTGTATGGTGAAGACCCTGGTAGCAACTTGATGGTTGTAAAGTCGCAAATCTACCCAGTCCGAATTTGGGCTCCTCGCCGGAAGGCATGACATTCGCTGGGGGCCTCGCTCTCTGCCGGGGTCGCGGGGCCCGAGGACGTGGCTTTGGGCGTTGTCGCCAGGGCCGCAGAGGGTGGGGGAGCTGCGAGCTGCGCAGGGCGCTGCGGGCGAAATGTATGTGCCTGTTTTTGCGGGTACCTTTTAAAGGCCTTAAAAAGGTTTGCGTAAGGGGAAGCAAGCAACACCGCAATTTTTAGGGTCCCTTTGATTTTGACACATACCGTCACATACCCATGTTCATAAACATGGTTCTTTTACGGTGAGGTGATTTTTTTTTACTAGAACCCCACGCGTTCTAATTTTTATCAGGCCCTAGATCCCGAGCAACGCAAGCTTGCTTCGGCACGGCGGGTTTTGCACATGGGCTTCAACCGCCGACACGCGGTCCGGCCTTGGTGGATGGCACCGGGGCTCTGGGTCAGTCGCCATGAGGCGGAAGGTTCAGCTCGCTGGGCCACAGGAACTGACAAAGGGTTTCCTTGACTTACCAGAGGTTGCCATGGAGCAATGGACTTGCCAGAGGTTGCCATGGAGCAATGGACTTGCCAGAGGTTGCCATGGAGCAATGGACTTGCCAGAGGTTGCCATGGAGCAATGGACCTACCAGAGGTTGCCATGGACCCACGGTGAAGTGGGAGAAGAGGTGCGCTACCAACTTGAAGATGTGATTTTCGTGCCCTGCGCACGAAGTCAAAGGGCTGCTGTTTTCACTGGCCTGGCTCTCAGTGCCGCGGACGCGGAGGTTCAAAGTGAAGTCCCGCCCTTCGGCCAGGTGATGGATTGGGCCGAGATGGCCGTGGGATTACAAACTCATGTCAAGCAAGATTCGGGACGAAATCTTCACAGTTTCCTTTTCCCCTGTGGCCGCTAGGCAAAGAAGAGCCACCTTTTCTTGCCAGGTTTTTTGGGGTCAATAGTACTGACAACCTTGATGGGCAGTCTTGGACATGAGCGGGTTGGCAATCCCCTGCTTTTCGGATAGTTATGCCCCACAACGCGGCTTTCCTCTGAATTGTCCTGCAAACCAATCTGAAAAGGGGCCAAAGGAAAAAACACAGGGAACAACAAGTTCAGAGGGCTGACAACGGTGGCATGCTGCGTTGTTCTAAGGGGGAGGCCCCTTTGGGCAAACGAGCCTTGCCCAACTCCCATTTTTTTTGGCAGATGCGACTCCGAAACCCCAAGTTGAAATGATCCAACCGTGACAACTCTCAGCTACCGTGCCGGCGAATTCGGATCTCGGTTTGAGGTGGTGACGTCCGCGCTTGAGGAATACTCCTCCAGGGTGCCAGCCTCACGTCGCCTTGGAGCTGAATCACATGGGGGAGAAACACTCAGTGTGTGTGTGTTGAGTGTTACCCGGAGGTAGACATGTCTGAAATGGAGAACCCACTACTGGATAGGACCCCTAGCATCTGTAGATCAAGTGGCGACCATCAGGCGGTTGTTCGCATTAACACGTCTTATTCCAAAGAACAGATCTTTGGGCCAGCTGCTCCTCGTTTCAACGGAAGATTGCATCGGCCAAGGTTCTGCTGGCGCGCCAGACTTGGGCTCGAGGTCAGGAGCTTACACGTCCGTGAAACCAGAACCAGAGCCAGGCCAGCTGGCCCCCTTTTCTGGGTCAGCACCTCCCAAATGCTTTGGCGACGTTGAAGCCGACGGGAGCAAGGCGACAGGGAAGAGCAACGTTGAGAGTGTGCTTCACATACTTTGTCACTCATGTAGCATCTACAGCCGGACTGGTACCGCGCCGAGCCTTGTGTGGTGCTTGAGGAACCGCACCATGGGCCCACCTAGCTTTATACCCCCTTCAATTCCAAGCTCAGGGCCAGAGATCCTCTTTGTGGCCGGTGCTCAGAGCTCAGCGTGTGGCAAACTTGCCGGGGGGAACGACACCGTTCACAGATCTTGTTTCTCCTTCTTCTTGTTTCTTCCAAAAAAACGAGCTTACCATCTGGAAGTTTGAATGAGAGACTTGGCGAATATCATTTGGCAGTTGTCTCACAACAGAGGAGAGAGAGTGTAGCATGCTTTGATACCCCTATGACTTTCCTTGGCTTCCCATTGACCCTCCTGAAAGTCACCGCTGTTGTTTCACTTGCAAATGCTCAACCTTTCCAAGGTTGAGCATCCAACATGTCGGCCCTTAGGCCCAAGGCAACGCATCTCTGGGCGTGGAATCGCTGCCTGGACCCTAGCGCTTTTGCGCCATTTTTGTGTATCTAAAACAGGCCAATAAGGGGCCCTCAAATGGCTTATTTCCAAAGGTTGTCTTCAAAAGAGGGGTCTCTTCAGGAGTTTGGTGGGGGCGAAACTCCAGAAAACACAAGTTGGGATCATGACCATCTATGTCGAGGCCTCGCTTGGGCTGGCTGCCACAATGATTCTTACTTGCGGTGAGGGAACCCGCAGCTTTTGGGCCAGTTACATCCCAATAGGTCTTTTTGAAGGGCTTCCCCCAAATCTCCGGAAACGTAAGCGTTTGCCGTTTTTTTGTGCGGAATCGTAGGTTCTTGTTGTGTTGGTGGCTGATTTTGGGGCCCTTGATGTGTCAATGCTGTCTTTGTGTTTGTGCTGCTGTATCAGGGGTGAGCAAGACTGCTAGCAGGCACGCTTTGCACGGGATCTTGTCAGCTAATCATATTTTGGTTATGCCAAAGCCAGGCACTCGACCCTCTAACACGACACTTGACGGGGGGATTCCTGAAGATAAACTACGTCCATGCACCCTCCAAATGCCATGTTAGTGGGACAAAACGGCCGAGAGTTGCCTGGCTGGCTGTTTCCCTTGTCAAAGCTTTGTACCCTTGGTGGTTCCCAGCCATTCTATTAGATGTTTAGCTTTTCTGCGCGTAGTGGGGATTTCCATTTATCCCACTGAAAGTCAAGCCTTTCGCGGGGATCTGAGGGCAGCCCAGTCTTGGGGATGAAGAAGGCGGATCTAGCCCCAAAAATCGACGATACGGCTTCGTCGGGCCGAGGGTCCAAGGCCTTGCGGCGATGATGAGGGACGGGGCGTGTGCTGCAAGGCGCGCGGTTTGGCGTGCTGGCAAGATCAACAAAGAAGCGGGGTGAGGGGAGCTTGAGATAGTTTTTGCGGGGCTCAACAACATTGTGCGTGAAACCATTGAAGGGAAGTTTGTGGCTGATCTTCTCATCCGCTTCAATGTTACTACAGCTGTTGAAGGTGTTGCTGTTTGGATCATGCGTTGGGAGGCTGCCAGATGGATTGGTTGCGCCAAAATGCTGGGACGGCCTCGGTACTTACCGCCTCATGTTTTGCTGTAGACTTCGACTCTGAGGCAGCGGGTGGCAGTTTTCTTCTGCCCTTGCAAACCAATGGCAGGGTTGCTCCGAATCTCCAAATGACCACATTACGAAGATAGAGAAGTGATCTGGTTTCTTTGGTTTCCTTTTGCCAGCCAAGTGCCTATCCTTGTGCCAGAGATTTGAAGCATGCTAAATTTGGGTCTTTGAACATGTGGTTAATTGTTTCCGGTTGCAAGAGGTCTCGCCAGCGGGGTCATCCGGGAAACCTTATGCGAGTTTCAATGGGCTCTTGTCTTTCGCAAGCTGCATTCAAGCTTGCGGTCGGGTTAAAGGCTTGGTTGCCCTTGAACCGAGCTGGCCTTTCAACTTGTGGACAACCTTCTCCCCACATCACGCACCTTTCTAGGGTTTGATTCCTCAGTCTCTGTAACCATTCTTTTCAAAAACCAGCGGTTTCCCCTGGTTTTTGATGGTTTCACGAACAGAAGAGTTCCCGCAAAGAATGGACATGGAAGCTTCCCCTAGACCTTAGGTTTTTGCGTGTCAAAGACCAATCTAGATGCCGTGTTCGAGAAGCACATGTTACGAGTGTAAAGACCCCGGAACATGGGGGTGCCAAAAGTGTGGGACTTTGAACAACCTCTCCAAGACTCTCAAAGCGGGCCTTTTGTTGAAGTCTTGAGTGCATTCCGAGACCAGTATTTTGAAAAATCACGTTGGGTGACGGATTCGATGGGGGTTTGCCCAATACGTGTTGCTGTTTTGGCACGATGCAGTTTGCGGCAGCATCTTATGCTTGATTGCGTGCTGGTAGACCATGTTGCGATGATCATGGGTGCATATCCCATTCCTTTATCATAGTATCAGGGTAGAATGCAATGTGGGAGGAGAGCCATGCATGTGCGTTTTGGGTTTCGCGGCCTCTCCGATGAAAGTTCCATTCCTTGAAGATTTGCTCTTAGGTGAGAAGATCTGCAGAAACCTCCAACATGCCTTGTGAGCATACCCCAGCCCTCCCACGATAATTGCTTTCATCTTGCTGGTGCGATAGGCCGGGAATGTGGTTGAATGAACCCAGGATTTGGTCCCCTAGGAAACCACCGGTTGGATGGTTTAGGCTCATTCCATTTCTCATCCCAGGGGTCCTCCAGGAAACCACCGGTTGGATGGTTTATTCGGGTCATTCCCTTTCTCATTCCCTGCAGCGCGCCAGCAAGTCATTTGGGGTCCGGGGCCGAAGTCCCAGCGTCGCGAGCGTCGACGCGCTCGTTGCATTCAGACGCTGCTGGGCTTGAAGTTGGCGCTGCGGCGCTTCCCGAACGCCCAGTGGCCGGGGGGCCCGGGGCTCAGTCCACTTCCCCGCTGGCGGGGCTGAAGGGTGTGTCTTAGTCTGAATGATCCAAATGAGGACACCTCCGTTTGGGAGGAACTCAAACCGGGTTTCCACAAATTCACGTCTCCCACCAAACAAGCGACGGCCCAGAAGTACCACCAGGGAAAAATCCCGCGGCAGTGACTCAAGTGCCACATGTGCCTCGTCACTCGCCCGGGCGTTTTGGCTGAAAGGCCTCCCCGGGTCCAACCCACGTCCGAGGCTGGTCCGGGCGGTGGCAGGGCGCCCCAGGTTCCAGCGCTCCTGGGAAAGGAGCAGTGGAAGTGGTGCAGTTAGAATACGTACACAGAAGTTTGCGTGCTTGCGCGGGTGTGCTGGCATGTTTGCGTTTGCATGTTTGCATATGTGCTTACGTATTTGTTTGTGTTTGTGTGTGTTGTTTTGGATGCAGGGAGGATACTTCTGCATCACGGAGCTACAGATGGCCCTTTTATATACATTCCCGGGGAAGAACATTGCTTCTGCTGTTGCTGTTGTTTGCCATGTCATGTGCCACGGTGAAGCCATGAGAAGCATTTGTTTTCGTGGGATTGAGCCCTGGATTGGCATCCTGCGATTTGGATATGTAGGATCTGCTCCTGTGGAGACTGTTGGAATTTATTTGTCACGGGACATGGGTGTACTTCACACCTTGGTTTTGGCATGCTGACTGGCAATGAATTCCCCAAGCTACAATTTCCTGAATGTGCTTTAGGAGTGAGCTTGTGAGACCAACCCCTTGAACATCAAAAGTAGTTTGCCACCAACAGGCTATTCCCGAATTCCCGTTTGATCCATAGCATTGAGGGGTTTCCCTATGTCCCCTATGATTGATCGGTTTCCGAAGGGAACATCCCCCAAATTCTCCAGGGCTTTCCTGGGAAAGGGATCAATATCGGCCAGAATCAGACATATCTATTTTGGTCGGGGGAAGGCTGCAAGACTTTCTGGGCGACCTGTTCTCAGGTACCCCCCCCCCCCCCAGCTGGTGGCTTGGATGGCGGTTTCAGGATTTGAAGCTCATGTTCTTGAGGGTAAACCCCCTCCAAACCGCCCATCCAAGGGATCCAAACAATGAGTTAGAGGTTATGATGGAACCCATGTGCGTGGCTGTGGCTCAGAACCAATGGTACCATTTTGGGGTAGGTGAATTCACCACCCATTTAAGAACCTATTTTAGTGGGGATTGGGATGTTCACTGGGGCTAACCGGGCTTTTGACATGAGCCTAGGATGACACGGCGGTCTTCCCGCAGCACCTGGTGCGGGAACTAGCGCTCTTCGATGCAAGGAGCTTCGTGTATTTGGGCGCCCCCTCCCTGACGCTTCTCTGCCACATGGCCCGGGGCCTTGAGGGAACTGGGGAGCGAGGTTGGGTTTTCCGTGGTTTCCCTGGGCGTTCTGCTCCTACCACCAAGTCCTGTTTAGGGGAGTTGGATGTAAAGCCGTTTGCCCGGTTGCCGCACCGTTCCCCGTTTGCCCAGCAAATGAACCGCGCCCTCCGTGAATCAACAATAGTACCACTACTGTCAATAGCAGTAGCAATCGCAACATTAGCACTAATAGTAATAGTAATGGCAATAGGACGAGGAGTAGTAGTAGTACTGGTAATGATAATGATAAACATGATAATCATGATATTAGTTGCAATATTGACAATACTGCTAATACTCACAACGACGACGCTGACGATGAATTGATAAAATGACAACATCATGCTACTGAAACACAGCTACTACTAGCAATGATAATAATGTTACAAACTGATAATCATGATGAATAGGGTTATTGTTATAATTTCCGGGCTGCTGGTTTAACTCTCCTTTTGGGGGGGTCTCTTGAGTTTCACTTAAACATGGGAACAGTTAAAAGGCTAGGCCCGACAGCATGCGGGTGTTTACATTCTTTCTGGAAAGGTTGGCTTCCCTTTCATTTTCCTTCAGAGGTTTTTTTTTCCCCCATTTTGGGAGGTCCAAATGGGGCGCCTTTGAGCCTACTAATTTGACTGCCCGGGCCATTTCCCTTCAGCCTTGCGGGTGTTTGAGAGTAATGTTAACCCCATATTCGTCAACCCCAATAAGGGTGTGCTTTTCCCTGGGCTTAGTGGGCATTCAGACCACTTTTGGAGGGGCCAAAAACCACCTACCCCTCCTATTGCCCCCCTGTTTTATTTTCATCAGCTGGGGGTTGAAGTTCCTTTTGGGCTCAACCAAGTTCGGCCAAGTGATGATGGGGCCAGTACCCCCTATTTGCTCTATTGCCCCCCTATTTCCATAAGCTGGGGTTGAGAAAACACCTGGGGTCCACCAAGCTCGCCCAATGATGACGGGGCCGGTCGCTTTCTCGGTGAACTCCACTGAGGCCAAGTTCGCGGGGCAGTGCGCCGAGCTCCATGGAGGGGGCGGAGGCGGATGGCCTGTGGCGTGTGGACACGTGTGGACACGGGTGGACGGACGCCCCCCCCCCCTTCCCCCCCCCCCCCCCAAAATGGGGGGGATTTCGGCTTTTTTCTTGGTTTGCCCCTGGAACCCAACACACAAAAGCGGGTACACTCGAAGACTGACGCACAAGCCGACTATCCACTTGATGCCCATGCCTGCATCCCTGCTGAGCCAAGCTGAAAGTGCTTCCTCAACTTGATGCTAATGTCCTTCCTCCACCCCGGCCCATGGCTTCGGCAGTATGTGAGTTTGAGTCAAGTGACGTGTGATGCTAATTTTGTTGTTGTTTCGTGCTCATACGCATGTGATGTTGGATTTGTGTTGGCCTCGTGCCTGCCACAGCCGACTCGCCCATAAAAGGAACCAACACAAGACACCCCACAAAAAAACCCTCTGCGTTTTGAGCTTTTTTTACAGGAACCACACTTCCCACGTTTTGGAGCTTTGCACCTGGGACTCTGCCGGCGCTTCAAGCTTCGCCCCTAGCACCGAGAAAGCCGCGGGTTGTCCGGGCGGCTCAGGGGGCGTGGTGCTGAGCCGCCCGCTGGTGCAGCGCTTGCTGCAGTTCGAGGAGCTCTTCCTGCAGGAGTGCAGGCCGGAAAAAAAATCCGGACACCAGAAATATGCCACGAAAGCTAGCTGTGCTAGTGGGAGTTCTCTAAGCTTTAGCTTCTTTTAGGGGCTTCCCACGATGCCTGATTTAATCAGGGATTGGGGGGGCTCTGTACCGCCCCCAGCACGCGCGTATTCCCAATAATCTCGTCCACATGTTTTCTTTCTAGACATTTCTAGTCGTTCATTTAGGATTGCTAGTCCTAATATCCTAGCAACTCCTGAGTCGTACAGGTCGTCGTTTGGCTGGCTAGGCTAGCTTTCGTTCACCCGCCTCTCAAGTATACCTTCTTGGTTGGGCGTTGGTGCGACCGTCAACTGTTTTGGGTCTAACAAGTGTCTGTTTTCACCGTGACTAGCAAAAAGCTCGACCTTTTAGAGGGAGTCAACGACCAAACCAGCCCAGTTTGCCTAGTTCTTCACCACGTACTGACAGGTGGCCAGCTTTCAGGGATGAGCAATGAGCGGACAATGGATGGCCATTTTACCACGAGCCAATGAGCAAATGAGCGAGTTAGAGGTTTCCAGGCGGCCAGCATGCGATGTGTAGGATGGCCGCAAAGAGGAAGCACTGACAAACTTCATCCAGATAGTTAATTGTCAACACGTTCCTCCCCAAGCGGGTGGTATGAAGGCTAAATCCTACAGGTTATCAACTAATTAGGGACATGGCTTACACATTGGGTTGATATTGTTTTTCTTATCACATGGAGCTCGGGCCCCACTGCATATCAGCCAGAAATGGCAAGTCCTTTCCTCCTCACAGCCACAAGGGCAAGTTGAGTCCAGTTTCATTGCCATCCAAAGCCATCCAGAGACGTTCAGCGTTTTTATTTTTTATTTTTCTTCTTCTTCTTTTTTCCATATGGTACATTTCAAAGCGGCCCGCAATGTATGGTCACCGCCCGAATTTCTTTATAGCACAGCCCTGGGGGTTCTTGTTACTTCCCAAGACTTTTGGAATGGGTTTTGGCCCCCTTTCCGACACCAATTGCTTGCAGGATGTTTGGAGCTGACGTGCATATTATTTACCCCGTGGCACGGTCCAGGGTTCAAGGCTTTCGCCATTAGAGGAGTCTTCAGTTGCCACAAGAAGCAGACTGGCATGTTTGTCATAAAGCATCGCGGGCACACAGAGCGCAGCAAGCCGTTTCATATGACGCAACCTTTTCCTTGGCATGAACGCAAACGTAGCCAGGTTTGGCCACATTAAACACAGACAACAAGTTCTCTCTTGTCCCGGCAATGATCCCTAAATCTAGGCCTCCCTCCCTTTGCCCTGCATTGTTTGCCATGCCCACACCTGTTTTTGAAGGGTTCCCACACATCTTCCGGGCGGAAGAGCGCTCCACGGCTTCCCCCTTGCTCAAACATGTCCAGGCATGACGACGCGTTCTTGGGGCATTTCCTCCGGTATGTCCTGGATGTGCACCTCCTGGCGCGGTGCTAGTCGTTGGTCCTGGGACTTGATCAAGCGGTTTGCCCTCACTTGGCCTCAGGATCAATCCAAACCAGGCACACACACACACATGGCTTTTCCATAGTTGCTCAAGCTCACAGGAATCCCTTTGATTCCGGGACGCCTCTTGTGATTCATTGCATGTATTTTCGGGGCCCCGGTGTTGTCAGATTGCAAAAAGAAGACTAGCCCCAAAGTCTAGGAGCTGGTTTCCCCGCCGCAGCCCTCAGCTGCCCAGCTGCTCCCAAAGCCTGATCTTTGTGATTAGCTCCCAGCCATCCCCTTGGCTTTTTGGCCTTTTAGTGTTCAGTGGTAGTTTCCATTTTTTCCATTTAGTGTTCAGCGGGGGATATGAGGGCAGCCCAGGTTCCTCACAACGACGGAGGGCACACTGTTGCACGATCACCTCCCAGAACAGAGGAGAGCTTGGTTGTTGCAGTAAGCATTTTTTTCGCTGAGAAAAGGTCAACACAGCCATGGTTTCTTCGTGGACGGAAAGCACTCATGATTTTGAAGGCACACGGTGACTTGTTTGCATGGCAGTGCGTTATTCACTCGAGGTTCCATGTGCCTCGAGTTGATTGCGACCTTTGGACTAATGTAGAGCCTAGGACAAACCCAGGGGATAGGTCCACAAGCCAACTTCTTCAAGTCTCGGTCAGTGCAACAATTCAGTGTCCCGATAGTTTTTGTTGCCCGGAGTCCTTCAGTTGCATCATGGTCTGTCTTTTTTTGGGTGTTGTTTTAAAGGACACCAAGAGGGAAATCGCCATTTTGGGGTCCACTAAAAGAGACACACCCCTATAGCTCTGGGGGTTAGTTCCTTTTCCATTCTTTTCAGCCACCGTTCTTTTTTCCAAAACCGGATCCGTTTTCCCTGGGATTCCGGAGGTTTTCTACAAAACAGGATGCCTGGAAAGCATGGGGAAGGTACCCCTAGAATAGTCGCGGACGAAACCGCCATCTCGGCCGCATCCGCGAGGCGCTGCCCGGGATCTCGCAGGAACCACGCTTCGCCTCGGCGGAACGCCGCTGGGATTTTTCGCGAGAAGGAAGTTCTCGAAATTTCTGTGGGTCAAAACCACTGGTACCATTTCGGGGTAGGTGCACCACCATTCTATCTTAGTGGGGATTGGGATGTTCCCTGGAGGCACGGGATTTTGACCCACAGCCAAATGGGTATGAATGATAAGTGGGTGCCAAATTCCAAGAACGACAGATGCGTTTGAGCATGATATTTGACTGGTTCGACGAATTTTTCTGTCCCGCCAGGCAATTTCTACGGGTTCTCCCATTCAACTGCCCAATGGTTGGGAACCGCTGTTGGGTTTTGGCCAAAACATCAGCCATATGATTGGTTGGTTGGTTTCCAGATGGGTTTCTGATTTTGAGACGTACCCACTCCCGGGAGGGGTGGGGGGCAAGGGACGGGGGTGAGAACGAAAAGCCTGAAAGAGTGACCAACTTTAGTTTCGCACGTGCCTTGTCTAATTTTGGGACCTCTTTTTCGACGCTTGGTTTGATTGTGTTCCCTTTAAAACCACTTACAAGAGGCGGGTGGAGCCACAGGTTGCACGACGGCCGGCCCGGTGTCACCATCCGAGCGTCGTTGGGGATTCCATTGGATTTCAGTTGATCAAAGGTTGCCGGAAGACCTGTAAAAAGACGGGTTTTTGGGCGCAGCTTTGTTGGTCAAGCGGATTCACATTCCTGGGCAGCCGGCGCAAGTGGAGTGCCTTCAAGGGTGCCTTCTTTGCCTCTCTGGCGAGCCCTTAGACTGAAAGATCTCCCAAAAAGAGGGACTCACAATTTGGACGAGGTTTAGAAAACAGCCGAAGGGAAGCTGAGCATTTAGGCCTTTATCATCTTAGGACGCACTTGCTTGGACACATGGCTTGTGTTTTGAACGGTAGCTCCTCAAGTGAACCCTGACGAGCTTTTGGCAACATTCACAAACTAACTTGGGGTTTTCCCCCAAAGTTGTCCCCTAAGGTGTAATTCGGGGTACCCCGAAACCTACCCCCTTTAGCTTTCGGGGTCCCCCTCAAATTGGATTTCACCGGATGCGCATCTCCGCGTGGCTCGTTGAGCCCGGAATTTGAGGCTGGGATGGCGGCTTACCCAGCTGCCCCTGGCCCTTGCCCGGACCTGCTGGGATCCCTAGAGCTTCTGACACCAGGGAACATATGCCCCGAACAAGCAACGCCCAGATGGCTCTTTCGATCTTTCTTTCTTTCTTTCTTTCCTTCCTTCCTTCCTTCCTTCTTTCCTTCTTTGCTTCTTTTCTTTCTTTCCTTCCTTCCTTTCTTCTTTCTTTTGCTTTTTGCATTCAGTTTCATGTTCATTTGTTTGATAGTCGTCTCTACTTTGTCTTTCTCTTTATCTTTCACCTTCTCTTTCTTTTTTGCTCGTTTTATCTTTCTCCATCTATTCCTATTCTGTAGCCCGGTACTAAACACCCCTAGACAACATACTATCACAGCCGTATTGGTTTCCCGCTAGCGCAACCTGTGACCTGCCGCAGCAAAAGCTGTAACCTGCTACGAATAAACCCTTTGTTGCCTACCAAAGGAACAACTGTAAGCTGCAAAGAGCGCGCAATCTGCTGCCTATCACCACAACAGAAATCACCAGTTGCTTCGACATTTACACAGGTCCCGTTTTCCTACTACGGTCTACAGTGATGTAGTGGCACCTTTCCTCACCATCGTCGGACCCTTTTTGCGAAGACAAGTAATATCATCCATTGGTTGGGACCCTTGTGGGACCGCCTGGTCTTGGGGAACCTTCACCCGACGTGTCGTCCAACTGGTTGGACCATTTTAGGAGAAAACTCGTTTGGGAGAATCCCCTATGTTGGCCTGGCTTGTTGCCATCGCCATTTGATTCTGTATATATATATATGTATGTGTCTATATGTCTATATGGTGCTTTTCTCAAAATAGGCGTCCCCATGGCGTCCCCAAAAATGGCGCCCCCAGAAATGGTGTGTTTCCTTTTGGCTTTGAGACATTCTCATATATATATATATCTATAATATACTGTGGGTCCAGAATGCTAACGTGGCATCTTACAAGAATGTGTTGGACGAAGCTATGTTTCTGGCTGTGTCCGAAGACGTATGAAAGAGCCCTCACGCCGTTGAATCACTGATTTCGTCTGGGCCAACCTGATTCTTCCAAAGGATTCCTTGGCGACCGGTCACCTGCTGCAGGTCTATTCGCCGCTGGAGGATGGGGGCTTCACTTATGGCGTTCCGTTCACTTGCTGTTGCTTTTCAGTCAAGAACTGACCTTATGGCACCTGACGATCCCTGTGTGTGTTGACCCCAGGTCAATTGACGCTTCCAAATTCAAACTTCACACTCCATTCCAAGGGATGGGGCTTATTTTCCTGGATGGAGATCTGCCATTGAAGGGGGGTGGGGGGATGATTCATTGAGTGGCAGCCCTCCTTTCATACAGGATTCAATTTCCACTCCGTTGGACGACGTCGTTTTTGCATTTGTTTGCTTCTCCTTGTTCTTTGTCTTGGGCTGGCGGCTTTTTGATTGGCGGGTTGGCGGATTGGTGGGTTGGCTTGTTATTTTGTTATGATCTGTTTGTTTGTTGGTTGGTTGGTTGGTTGGTTGGTTGGTTGGCTGATGGAACGGAGCAACATGTTGGCATTACAGGAGGGGCTTTACGGCACCCCGAAACATGAGGCGCTGATCGAAGTGCAATTATACTGGCTACACGAGCACAATCAAAACCCGGGTAGATGGAGGTTAGTAAGGGCATAGTCCCAACCATATCTAGGTGCGGCCGCCTTTGTAGTTCTTTACATGGTTTTGGGCACACCATTTTAATACCAGGTTTTGATTATGACTCACATGTTGAGATGCCATGTCGGCCGCCGCGCTCACCTGGGAATGCCAGGCCCATCAAACCTCAAACACGTTTTGGCAGCCTCACAGGAGGCGCATTTGCCAGGAACAACTCCAACTGGTCGATTCTTAGCATCGGCCGCGAAAGCGGGTGGCTCAAGTTCAGCACTTTCAATGTCAGTTTTGTTGTGCGTTTCTGCTTCTACTGTCCAGCAAGTAAACTCAGCGTGCCATTGCATTTGCGTTTGCAAACTGCATGTCCTTGTTTGGGCTGACATGCAACGCGCTCTTTCGAAAGGAGCGTACAGTCTGGCCGTACTTGTAATACCTCCATAGATACGTGTATTCCTGCATACCTGCGTACGCGCATTTCCCGGGTTTGTTGGTATTCGCAGGGGAATCGAACCATTCCAGGGTTTCTGAGCGGTGGTGCGAAATGGACTTCGCAACCATCCACAGTATTATACATATATATATATATGTGTATTATATATACACATCTAAGGTCCTACTTCCCCCAAAGGTACATACCCGAAAATCGGAAGATGTATCTCCACGCCTTCGCGGCATTTCAGGTGCCGTTTCTCCGCAGGACTGGGGCCCCTTGCAGCCCTTCGCGCCACTGGACGCCACCCGGCTGTGCCTGGTGCACAGCGCCCGGCGCCCGGCGCCCGCGGGGCGGGGGGGCGGGGGGGCCGGGGGGGGGGTGGCAGGGAATAGTATGTATCATGTGAACGGGCTTCTTCTTGAAGAAGTTTGTAGACCACCTGGTTTTCCATTTTTGTAATTTTGCAATTATTCCTCGAGTTGTTGGACTTTTGGATCCGAAAGTTTAAAAAAACTCGAGGAACAATTGCAAAAAAAAGCAAAATTTAGTATTGCGGATTTTGCAATTTTTGCAATGAATCCTCAAGTTTTTGCAATTCTGGATCCGAAAGTCCAAAAACTCGAGGAATAATTGCAAAATATGCAAACAATGCGAAATCTAGTATTGCGGATTTTGCAATTTTTACAAAACTCGAGGAAGAATTACAAAAAATGCAAAAAATGCTTTTTTGTTTCTTCAATTTTTGCAATTTTGCAATTGTTCCTCGAGTTTTTGCAATTTTTGGATCCGAAAGTCCAAACACTCGAGGAATAATTGCAAGCATTGCATAATCCGGAAAGGTCTACACTGACCCGAAGCTGACGCTCGCCGCCCCACTGCCGAATGCAGTTTTGTTTTGCCCGAGAATCAGCATCTCATCTTTAGATTGCGTGTGAGCAATGGATAATACTGCGGGCTACCGTGATTTCGCCGATCACTGCGTCAGGACTGAGGGACAGATTACTGAAGCCTGTGCGATTGACATGTATCATTATAGATTTCGTCTCTGAGATTGTGCTATCAAAACATAAGTGTTTTGCTTCTTTCGTGGATCATACTTGGTCATGACAGTAGTGTTTTACACATGGAAAGCATCTCGTGCCGCCCGGTGTAACAGGGTGTCTGTATATTTGTTTGTTCAATTTTTTTCGCGTCGCGCGGTGGCACAGGGTGTGCGTACGCGCTTGCTCCCTCGCCCGGATTGACATAGTGCGTAGTGCAGTATACCCACGCCTCTTGTTTTGTCGTGGTTTTTTTTTTAGGCTTTTCGGATTGCTACCAATTAGCATATAGACATACCTTTGGCGCACATACATGTTGCACGTGATAGTTTTCATGATGCAAGTGGCCACAATCAACATAAATTCAGGCGTTTCGCATCCTCAATAAGTTGAGGGCTCTGCGTCCATCCGGCGCATTTGTGCCCAAGCGGATTTGTTTCCGCCTCTTGAAGAAGTTGAGGGCACTGCGTCCATCCGGCGCATTTGTACCCGAGCGGATTTGTTTCTGCCTCTTCAATAAGTTGAGGGCACTTCACCCATCAGGTGTATTTGTGCCCAAGCGGATTTTGCTTAGAGAAAGAAAAAAAGCTGTCTGACTGCGCGCTCTGGGTGTTTGTGTGTGTATGCGTGAATATGATTTGTACCCTTTGACAGTTACTTCTATTCCCATCACCTGAAAAATTGTTGAACATTTAATGCAGAATTCTTTGGTTTTAGTACTGGAAAAGACCTCGTTCACATGATACGTATTATTCCCTCGTACGGGGGGGGGGGGTTCGTGGGTTGTGGTCCGGTTTTGGTGTGGAAATTCAGCCGTTCAGACAAACCAGCAGCGGAGGCGATTTTTTTCCAAGTGGGTAGGGGAAGCCCTTTGATGTTCACCTCCGCCAAAAAGCGAGCCGGCCCGTGCTTTCCTAGCAAGAAAGGAGGTCTGTTTCACACGGATCCCTGTTGCAGCTTTTGCGCTTGCACATGGGCCGTGGCTCATGGCCGCTTGCCCTTGGAATGGCACACCTGGGCCCGCCTTGCCGCTCGCTTCAGCATTTGGCCCAAACCCGAGAGCCGAGCACCGAGAGTCCGTATCGCCATCTTGCAGAAGGCACTCAAATGAGACTGGCACTGGCAGACTTGCAGAGTGGCAGAGTGGCAGACTGGCAGCCGCAGGTTGACTCGACTGACTTCACATGAGCCCAAGAAACCGCCACCAGGTGACGTGTTTTTGGAACACGTGAGAGCCATGGACTGCGTTGCAGGCTTGATCGATGGCCCCTGCCGCAAGAAGCAACTCGGCCCATGGGATTTGAGCGCGATCCTTTTGGGGAATGTGTTGCTTATTGTTTATGCCCTTGATTGACCTCTTTGGCGGAACAAGGGAGCCGCCAAATTCAACGATTCAGGTTCCCTTACAAATGGCTCGACTACGCCTCTGTCGTTAAGTTTTGAATGGCGTGATGGAGGCCAACAACCACCTTGTGAAGCGAACCTGTTGGAAATTGCAGAGTTCCTAGACAGGAATTCGATCCTAAAATTGGTTGGGTTCTTTCCGAATTCATTTTCAATTGCAAGCTGACAAAAAGGAATGGCTTGGAAGTTGACAAACTCCCTCAATTTGCGGTGGCCCCCATTTTTTGCCACGGAACTTGCCAGATGGAATTGGTGACTTTTTTTTTCTCTTTTTTTTTCTCCGCAATTCCCGCATCACCTGGCTCACTTTACCCGAGGCAGGAGGAGGTGAAAGAGATCCACTTAGAGGTGCGAGGCCTGACGGGCTTGCTGCGCCCTGTGGAGGTGGACGCCTCCATCTCCATCCAAGAGCCACGCGGATTCGGATTCGGTCGTGGCAGGGTTTTACTCACCTGAGTGGGTAGGCCCCTTTGAGGGTACCCGAGTTCTATAGTGTTGAGGTCTTTGCAGATTGGTTGGTAGAAAACAAAAAGGGCAAACTGTCATTTCGGTTTTCCCATGTTAGTACCAACTTGTGCAAGTTGTGGCTGGATTATGTTGGGCTCGCATCCATTTAGGCAATATACCAGAGCCATTGACAACATCCTCGGTGGTTCGTGTTTTTTTTTTTTTTTTGACAAGCAACATGATCCCATCACAGGGTTGGGTTGCAAGGATTTCCCAGGCAAACAACCAACCAGATTCTCCCCCAATTCTTCGGGAATAAATCAATCTGACTGCTGATATGTGGATTCTTCAAAGCCCCCTTTCACTTGGGCAATGGTGGTCATCCACCAAGCAAAGCAACTCCAGCATGGCGCGTGAGCTAACCGGGTCGCAGTAGATTCTGAGAGTGTCCTTGCTGGTGGGTCAATCCCATCCGGCGTTTGAAGGTTGCGCTGCCACGCGCTCGGCCACAGACACAGGATGACGGAGTTGCATCGCAAAAACAACGAGTCAAACCCTGGGGCCTCAACAGGGCTCCTCAAAAGATACATCCATTTTGCCACCATTTGAAACATGTGGCTTTTTCAACACCAAAACTTTAGAGCCTCCGGCTCAGTCCGCCGACATTGGCATCTAGCTTGTCTCCTTCTTCCTGTGGATTCAGGTTCCAACCCTGTGCATGAGTGTACTTGTACATGCTCCGCCGCTACAGACTTCAAGATCACTGACAGCAGTGTGAAAAGGTAGTCAACGGTTTGCTGCTTGCCTAGGTATTCCCTTAGGTGGCCTAGGCTTGATAACACAGGTTATCAGCCGTAAAGGCTTGTACAAAGATCGCCATGGCATCCGGAGATATGCCTGCCATTTACAATATATCTGGAGATGTTGGTGACGGTAGTGAAGGTGCAGTTGCATCAAATGGTCCTGTCGACCCTCGCGATCCTCGAAACGTATTCGGATTCGCGACAAACTATCAAGCCACCCAGAACATCATGCATGTGCATAACGACACGGGTGACGCTGTTAGGGAAGAGGCCAACACGTTACATCGCGTTGCTATGGATGCTGCAAGGGCGGAATATAGCGCTCATTTGGCGGAAACTGTGCATCGCCTGGACGAGGAGAACAGCCGCCGGACCCTTGAGCTGCACGAGCAGTTCGCAGAGTCCCGCGCTTTCTTCAGCGCCCAGCTTAGTCAGATGCGGGGAGCAATTTCTGCCGAAGTGAACGAAGCTGTGTCGCAAAGAACGGCACAGTATAGCGCTTTCGCACAAAGCTTACATGCTGAGACTGTTGTGATGGAGAACTCGGAGAAGGCGGTCGGTGAGCAGAGAGACAGTATTTTGGCGGAGAATCACGCCATGCAGGACACCATCAACGGGCTGAACGACACCGTTGAGCGTCTGAGGAATGATCTCGAAAAGGCGCAGCGTGAGATGGTGCGCGGAGATCCTCAACCTGCGTCAAGTTTTCAGAACGTCAGTTCGGAGTCGTTTTTGGATAAGAGGGGCAGTATCTTTGATGATCCGCGTCTTTTTCCAACGCAGAATCACAAACTTCTGGACCTATGCCTCAGATTATTCCACAGCAGAGTTGGACTGATCCTATTTCTGGTGCAATGCAGTTTGATATCAAAGATCATGCGAGACGGTCTTCGGAGCAAGAAAACAGCCGAAGTCAGCAAAATCAGCCGACAAATCAGCCGAACATTGATCGGTTGACTGGTCCCGAGACCACCGAGGCGGAGTTCCGTGCGGCCCTCCTCGGCTTTGTCCGGAATCAGCATGATCGGCCAAAAGCAAAGGAAGCTGATTCGTTGAGGCTGAGTGAGTTTCCCACTCCTGAGACCTATAGAGCCTGGAAAACGGCTACTCGCGAAGAGATTCGGGCTGCTTCAGATCGGCCTGACGCTGCATTCACCTGGGTTAACAAGGTGTACGTCAACAGGGAGGACAAGAAGAATCTCATGCTAGAGCTAGGAGATCCAGAGTTTGAAACGTTGGACACAAAGCTTCTTGCAGCATTGTCGCGGATTGCTAGGGGCGACCTTAGTCGGCAGATCCTGACGTACAAGGAGCAACAAGCCGCTTTGGACAAAGTTGTCCGTGGACGTCAAGTTCTTCTCATGTTTGAGCAGTATTTCAGAACGAATGAGGAGGCCGGAGCGTTGTATTCCACTGAAGATTTGTTGAAGGTGGTACTTCATGGCAATGATTTGATGACCTTTATTCAGAATTGGGATTCCGTCATTGCTGGCATGAAGATCGTTCCGGAACAGCACGTCTTGAAGGACATCTTCTTGCGACAGATTCGTGGATGTCACAAGATCAAGTATGACCTCGATACATAGGAGCGTGCAAAAGATGGGTCGTATGACAAGAGCTACGAGTTTCTTGTTCAAGCCGTTCGTGATGTTTTGACTCGGGAGCGATTGCAGTCAAATCGTGATCGTGTCGCTCGAGCTCACAATCAGAAGGTCGGTGCTCCAGCTCCCAATGCAAATCCTGGGCGTGCAAGAGATCCTTCAGCGGTCAGGTATTGCTACGATTTTCAGAAAGGCAAGTGCACTCGGGATAATTGCATTTACAAGCATGAGAAAGACCCAAGACCCCCGAGCCAAAATCCGAAAGGAAAAGGTCGGGGGCGCTCTGACAGCCAGGGGAGAGACAGGGATCGGTCGGCATCGAGAAAGAGAGCGGAGCTGAAAAAGATCCCGTGCAGGTTTTTCAAAGGCGGTCAGGGGAAATGCACTCGTGGAGACAACTGTGCGTTTTCGCATGAGACTCGGTCTGCTGCACCAGCAACAGATAAGCCGAGCCCAAAGAAAGGAGCCAGCAGAGGTAGGTCTCCCACCCCAAAGGGAAAAGGGAGAAAGCGATCCCAGAGCAAAAAGGGCGAGTCCTCAGCCGCTGTGTGTCTGAGGGTGAAAGAGACCAATGCATGCCTCGCAGCATGCCGCCCAAAGCAAGATTTCTGGGAAGTTGACTCGGTGAACGAGATGGTCATTCGACACCATGTGATGCCCCGAAAAGCGCTTTATGATCCGAAGAGTGCAAAAGACCTTCCAATTTCGCTGGAATGTTTATTGGATCAGCGCATCACCAAAGCCAACATCAATGGCAAAGAGCAAGTGTTTGGTGATTTCTGGGCGGATCCTGATGAAGGTTTGGAGCAATACTGGACTGGGCAAACGATTTTCATTTGCAGTACAGATGTTTCCAATACCCGCAGATGCGTCAAATTCGCAGACAATGTCGAAATCGTCGAGATCGAGGCCAATGGGCTATGCCTATCATGTGCTCCAAAGCCGAATGACCCTGAGGTTGTGTGGTATGATGGTTGTGCGCCTGGCTCAAATCCCAAGGATCTGATCGATGCTAAAGACAAAGCTTTGATTCTGGAGGGGGTTGTTGAGTTGATGCATGCAAACTACAACGCGCCTTGTGGGTTCTATTGCGAATACTATGATGACAATGACCCAATTTATTGCGGTTTGTATTGTCCTGGCTGTTGGATTGATGATGATGAAACGAACCTTGACGATGTGCCGGAGTATATTGCTACGCCAGCACCAGCAGGGCTTCGTCAGTGGATTGTCGACACAGGTAGTGAACAAGATCTGGTTGACGCTGAGCGTGCAGTTACACTTCAAAAGAGGATAAATCCTGCATTGACTCCAATCAATCTTTCAACAGCAAATGGATCAATTTGTGCAGACAAGATTGCAGACTTCTCCATTGATCAGTTGAACGAGGTCGTCACTCCGTATGTTTTGCCGAGCACGCCAGCTGTTCTTTCTGTTGGTCAAAGATGTTTGGAAAAGGGGTACGACTTCGTATGGAGAAAGAACAGTGCTCCGTACTTTGTGCGACCTGATGGCAAAGCGGTAATATTGAAGCTCGATGGGCGAGTTCCGTATGTTGACGATCAGTGCGAGGTCATAGCTTCTGAATCCGCTATGCCTGTTGCGCTTGCTGCATCCGATCAGAAGATCGGGGGCGTTGAAGTGCCTTCATCTTCAAGCGGGGGGCGACCTCCGCCGGATGCCGCATCGTTTCCATTGCGCCCTGATGAAGCTGAACCGCCGGAACCGGAGTTTGATCCGGAATTGGAGCACAACCCTGAGGTTGCGGAAGCTCCAAAACCGATGTCAAAGCGTTCAAAAGAAATGATGATGCGTGAGGCCAAAAGTGAAGAGCATCTTTTCACTCACAGGCCCAAGAACCCCTTTTGCGAAACATGTGTGCGATCCAAGATGCAAGCGCCTCAAGCTCGTCGCAGACATGGGTCTTCTTCAGTGGATGCAAAAGCATTTGGAGATCATGTGACTGCTGACCACGTCATTTCAAATGATGAGACGTACGGGTTCAAGGGCGAGTGGAACGCTTTGGTTGTGAAAGATGTGTTCACGCAGTTCCGGTATTTTTACCCTTCAGCAAGGCAAGATGCTGACAGTTGCGTTCGTGCATTTCAACATTTCACGAAGCCAGATGATCATGTTGGAATTTTCTATTCTGACAATTCTGGCGAAATTGCAGCTGCAGTAAAGAGTATGGGTTGGAGACACGTGCTGAGCCAGCCATATGTCAGTCAATCTTCCGGGGTGATCGAGCGCGAGATCCGTACAATTCTGGAGGGAGCAAGGGCAAATCTATTTCAGAGCGGTTTGCCGGTTGAGCTTTGACCTTTGGCAGCCCAACATCATGCATTTGCTCTTAATGTTACAATTTCAGATGACAAGGACAAGTCGCCGTGGGCTTTGCGTTTTGGTGATGAGTTTCCTGACACAAAGATTCCATTTGGTGCAAAATTGTCGTATTGGATCAATCGTCAGCGCGTCGATTCGAAGCAGTCAAAGTTTCTGCCAACTTCGGATGTCGGCATTTTTGTTGGCTATCATGTGCAACCTGGCTTTACCTACACG